CAAAAAAAAAGACATTTTGCTTCCACTTCCAGATGGTTTTAAACACATTTTACTCAACTCAGACCGAACGGTTCCAACTTATTATTAAAGAGTGCATTCCATTCTATAAGAAAATCTTCATAGTGGCCACGTACGTGGACGGCATCAGAAGAATTAGCCCTGGAAACATGGTGCACTGGTCGATCTCAATGGGGTCTTCGAAGGATCGTGTACCATAACGACCCTTACTGGAAGCTAGTCGATGATACACAGTGTAGCTAATCCTTACGAAATATATCCAACATTAAATCGATTCACGAAATTGCGTAAGAGCTTCAGGCTGAAGCTCTTACGGTAGACCTCCTTGAGCCTGACGACGGTGACAGATGACGTCATATTCTGAAGACGGTGAGGGCAGTGAAGGAGAGCCTGCGTACACTAATAGAGGAACACTTAGGGAATACTCTGCTGAGGAACTCCCGTCAACGACAGCAATCTCTGCGAAGAAAAAAGAGCCGAAGTCCGACATAGGCAAAATGTTTTTTTTGGCCCCCCCCTATATATATATATAAATTCGGGTACACGGATTAAGTGAAATAAGGGTACAGACAGATCGGCGCTCGTTTGTCAGCGGGATCGGCCCTCGTGGACGGCGCTCCAGCTGTCAGTCAAACCTTAAGTGCCGGTCCGAGCGAGGGAAAAGCCACTTCCAAGGCAGTGACCAAAACAAGAAGGACTTGCACTTGAATGCATTTTGGCTAACCGACATGCAGGATACCAACCGCACACACAGAGCGCACCACACACGCAAGCATGCATGGATACGCCTGAGTGGGACAGCTGGTATGAATCGACACAGCACTACAGAAACAGGGAGTCCATCCCCTGAATCCACCTGCGTCTCAGGGCAAGTACATGGTGGCTTTTGGTCCGCGATTTACCCCCTATCCGCCACCTGGGGTCACCCTAAGTAGCCTCGCCTCGCAACTGGCTAGAGATCTTTCAGTGAGAGAGGACCCTCAGTGAAAAGTGCATACATATTGCAATCGCGATGTGGAACCAATTTGTTGTGCGCCTCGTTGTCTTGTTTGAGCTGTGTTCTTTTGAATTTTCTTGTCTTTTGCTACTGTCTTGCGTTTGGTCATAGCGGGTCAGACTGGCATTGTTGTTGGTTTGTTGGATTGGACTGCTTGTTGTTGGCCATCAGCCGGAGAATAGACTACTGTCGGTAAGTACCGGAAACTGCCACTTCCTCTCGGACGGTATTTACTTAACGTGCGAAGAGGGGCGGTTTGTGTAGTCACCGAGGCCATATGACTCATACCCCATGGTGCGATCTTCATGATCATTAACGTCAATTCACAACAATGTGGAAAGGAAACATCTGTGTCAAGAGACAATGGCGAAAATTGGGCTAATTTTTGCATGAAGGTGCAGCCGAGCCGACTGAAGTAAGGTTCGCTTCTGCCCGATATGTTTTGGCATTTGTTTTTTCTCTTCTCACGTTTACCTTTCCCTTAATGGCTTTTTTCTTAGTGAAGCACTACTAAAAGAAAGAAAATTGAAAAGAAAGACAGACAAACACTCATGCATAGCAAGGAAAAAGGGACCCTGCTCCAGTCGGCTCGGCTGCACCTTCATGCAAAAATCAGCCCAATTTTCGCCATGGTCTTTGACGCAGATGATGCCATCCACATTTTCCAATCAAGAATAAACTTGGGATTCCTACTTACGCATGAAACATCAGTTCGTTGAGGCACTGATTGCTAGTTTTGAAGAAGATCCGATGGCAGCGATCGCTGGACAAAAGTGGATGTTTCTGTTGTAACACCGCCTTTGTTTCTATCGGAAAACAGTGAGAAATCCTGAGAGCTTTTCTAAACTTCATATCGTGTAAAATCCCAGAAAAAATTCTCGAGCTTAGCGGGTCCAAATCTGGCGTGATTGTGCTGTTCAACAGTTTTTGCGACAACCGAACCTTTATCAAAATCCAACAGCAGTTTATTATGCTGTTCCCTTAAGAAGTGAAGTGTTACCACAATGAAAAAGTTTCGTGGAACAGAAGTGAAAAGTAATCGATAAACGTGAGGTGGACGTATAATTTTGGGACGTCGGCTGAGTGGCCTTTTACACAAAAATTATTGGGAAAAAATTCCTGTGATCTCAAATAGAAAATTGATGTTCATAGGCAATTGCGTATTTATATGCGATGTCACATAGGAGACTTTTTTCGAAACATCTGTATTTCTGAGATTTTGGGAAATTCTTAGGTGGACGTATAATTATGGGACGCAGTGTATGTGATATATTGAACCAATTCGCACGCGTTTGCCTTAATAAGACCCGAACTGACTGAGCGAGAACTTAGGATAGCCTCCCTGTTCGCAGGTTTGAATTCGGAATGTCTTGCGATAATTGAGATGCATGATACTATGCGAAAACTTAAAGGATGTCACTTACCAGGAAAGGTCTTTCAGGACATGGAGCCCTTTTTGAAAACGGTTTTTTGCATGATAAAGGGGCACATGCATGGAGTACAAAACTAGGCTCCATTTTTTCTGAGCGGCCCTCCTAA